ATATGGCCTCTGCTGATACCACAGGACTGGGGGTTCATCTGATGAGCACGTGATGGTACCAAAAGTCCTAATCCTCCTCTAGGGCTCCTCTGACACCATGTAAGGGGGGTCTCTTGTTGCTGCAGGGTAGTGATGGGAGACCTGCCCCCCCCCAATACATACAAGGTCTCCACTGACAGCCCAGGGCAGAGAGGCACCTCATTACCACCCAGGGAGAATGTTGGTCCCTGCCCCAGCCTTCTCTGACACCCCTCCCAGCTGCGGAGCTGCAGCACCTTGTTACAACCTGGCCAAGATGGGGGTCAAGTACCCCTCGGCCTTCACAGCGAGGGTGAGACTGAAGCCTTGGTTTTTTTCAGCAATATTTAGCTGGAGTAGAGCGGTTGTTTTCTAGAAGCTTCTGTCTTGCTCAGCTGCTCTTTTCCTGACCCTTTGTCTAGAAAGAGCTGGTTTTGGGGGGGGATCTTCTTTTCAGGCCTGCTGATGTTTTAGGGTTACCGCTTTTCCAGCACCCAGCCTGGGATATAAGAGGTAAAAAGAGAACCCAGGAAACACAGCTTTATACTTGATTCCATTCCCAGGGGCTGGGGATTTAGCCCAGCGGCACAGCACCTGCCTGGCAAGTGCGAGGTCGTGAGTTCGATTCCTGGTACCAAAAAAACAAACAAACAAACAAACAAACAAACTAAATACTTGAGTAGCAGCCATGCATGGTGGCATTCATCTGTAGTTCCAGCACTCAGGAGACTGAGGCAGGAGGATCCCTTGAACCCGGAAGTTTGAGACCAGCCTAGACAACATAGCAAGATCGAGTGTCAAACCCACAGGAGATGGTGGTATAGCTCAGTGGTAGAGAATTTGTCTAACCCTGAACAGTAAGTTCAGTCTTCAATATCATACAAAAAACATTGTGCTGTGTGTGAGACATTGTCTGGGTGCATATCTACAGAGCGACCTACATGGTTAAGGAGTTAAGAGTCAAGTTGGGGAAACAAACAATAAGCAAATGAGTAAAAGATATATTGTCTGGGGAGAAGAGTCCCAAATACTGTAGGTAGATGCGCTGTCCTCAAGGACCTAGAACTCACCTCTGACTTCTTTCCAAGGAGAAGAACAGGGCAGGGGGAGCAGACTGAACGTGAGTCTTCTAGGGAGAGCATGAGGAAGCACCACCGAGTGGTGGCTTAACAACTGAAATTCGTTTTCCTAGTTCTGGGAAACCGAAGTCCAAAATCCAGGGTTGATTCCGTCTGTGGGCTGTGAGGTGATGATCTAGTTTTGGTCTTTCCTCGGCGTGTGGACGGCCATCTTCCTCTCCACATGGACGGCCATCTTCCTCTCCACACGGTGCTCTCCAGGTAGCACGTCTGCCTCTGAGTTGCCCCTTTGTCAGGTTGCCAGTTACATAAACTAAGCCCACCTTGCTAATCTCATTTGAGCTTGATTCATGGGTCAGGACTCGGTCTCTGTTTTGTTATTTTTTGTTTGTTTGTTTGTTTGTTTTGGTCTTTTTGAGACAGGGTCTCGCTATGCAGTTCAGGCTGGCCTTAAACTCACTTTGTAGCCCAGGCTGGTCTCAAACTTGCAAGGATCCTCCTGCCTCAGCCTCCTGAGTGCTGGAATTACAGGCATGCACCACCACACCTGGCCTTTTTTTTTTGGAGGACTCATCTCTGGCTGAGCTCCCACTCTGAGGTGCTGGGATTTGGGATTCCAGCTGATGAATCTTAGTGAGGACTCACCGGAACCTGTAAGAAGTGGAAAAACTAACAAGAACTACCTCAGTGACCAAGGTTAGTCAAAGTTGGTAAGTCTCACTGATTAGCACCAAGGTTAGTCAAAGTTGGTAAGTCTCACTGATTAGCACCACAGAGTAGGATAGCGTCACTGTTTATATAGAGTCAGGAAACCTCTATAGCAGAGTGACACTTGAGTAAGACCTGAAGGAAGCAAGGGAAGGGTGTTGGGACCCGAGGGGACCTGAGGAACAGGAGAGAGGGCAGAAGTGCAAAGCCCAGATGTGGGACTTGGGTTGACACTTTCAAGGAAATGCTGGGGCTCCAGTGTGGCCTGAGGGCAGGCAGGGAGGACAGGGATGGGGCACTGGGACAGGAAATAAGGTAGAAACCATGCCAACCTTAAAGGTCAAAGGAAGATCATGTTTGCTCAGAGTGAGATGAGGAGCCTGTGGAAGGGTGTGAGCAGAGCAGAGACATGGTGTGGCTCATGTTTGGACAGAGGCCTGCTGTGCTTTGCTGAGCACAGACGTCAGGAAGGTTAGGGTGGGAGCAGCGGGGCCAGTCAGAGGTGGCCATGACAGACAATATGGTTGGACCCATGGGTAAACTGGGAAGTAGCCAACAAGGGGTCACATGGAGACTGCTTTTGCAGGCAAATCCAACAAAGTTCGTTCCCATGGATTAAATGTGGGTGAGAGAGGAGAGGTGTCAGAGAATATTCCAGGTTAGGGTGGAAGCAGCGAGCGGCCATGACAGAGGAAGGGGGATGGGAGGGAGGGGCAGGTGTGCAAGGCTAGAGGTCGGGAGGTGGTGTGAGGTGTTGAGACCACGGCACCCATTAGCCCTCCAAGAGCCGCACACGGTCAGGGAGTGGACAATCTCTCTGGAGCTCCAGGGCCACCGGGGCTGGAAGAAGGATGTGGGAGTGTGCAGGCAACTCCAAAGCCAGGCAACTGGGTGAGATCCCTCAGGGAGGGAGAAAAAGTGGGAGAGACTGAGACCTGGAACCGCCACTTCAGAGACAGGGGGACAAGAACAGAGTCTGAGAAGGAGCCAGGGAGGTGGGAGAAAACCAAGAGAGAGAAAATGTCCCAAAGGGGACCTGACCCATTGGGTGACAAAGGCCTGAAAATTGATCCCCGTCAGCCTCTCTTTTCAGATGGAAAGAATAACTTCACTAAGATCTAATTTACATATTATATGTGATTTACATATAATAAAGTCATCCATTTTCAACATAGTTGGATGAGTTCTGACAAATATATACAGTCACGTAATAACCACCATAATCAAGGACAGAGCATTTCCATTCCCCCCAAATTTCCCTCAACCCTTTGTAGTGAACCCCTTTCTCAGCTACCAATCTGCATGCTGTCCCATAGACTAGCTTGTGCCCATCCCAGGAGAGAACAGAAATAAAGCCACAAGCTTGGCACTCTTTCATATTGAGCTTCTTTCTCTCTACATCATGTTTTTGCAATTAATCTATGGTGTCAAAAGTGTCCATATAGTCCATGTCTTTGCATTGCTTTTAGCAATAAGTCAAGGGATGTAGTATTCCATTATATACTAGAATCTGTTTCTCTGTTCCACGCTGATGACATCTGTGTTGTTTCTAGTTGGACGTTATTACAAACTGTTATAAACATTCCTATGCAAATCTTTCCACGGACATGTTCTCATTTTTAGTATAAGTGACAATTAAAATCATGTGTATTTAAGATGCAAAACACATTTCGTGTAATGGCTTATATCTACATGCTCCTCTACACTCATGCACTCACAAGGGGACTTTTCAGAGGTGGCTAGATATAGGGTGTGTAAATATAGATAAAATGTGGCAACTAGATTAGTCCACTGATTGATTTGTGCATAATGGGAAGGCCCACCCTGGGTGTGGGTGGCACCAACCAATAGGCTTGTAGCCTGGATGGGATAAAAGGGGAAGGAAGGCTTGCTGGCGCTGCTTCCTGCTTCCTGCTTTCTGCCTGCCCTGTCTGTTTCTGATCCACCATGCCACCCTGCCTTGAAATCTCTCCAAAGTGTGAGCTGAAATAAACCTTTCCTCCTTTAAATTGTGGGTGTCAGGTATTTTGTCCCAACAACAAGAAAAGTACTAAGACATTTTTGAGATACTTATTTCTTGTGAAATGATTACTATAATCAAGCTAGTTAACATAACACATACTTACAGCAATTCTTAATTTCCTCCACTTGAAAACACTTTGTGATAACCTAAGTCAAAAAATACTCAAAATAAAACTATATTTCAGTATCTCTCTCCTAGAGACATTGAAACAGTTAAATGAACATCATTTTAGATGATTTCTTGATATCTATGTACAGTAATGCATTTTTGAAAATAAAAAAGTAGCAGTGCCATGTATACTGTTTGTAACCTACTGCTTCACTTAATAAAATGTAGTGGACATATTTTCAACTCAATACATTTATGTCAATATCATGATCTCTTAATGATATAATTAATGCCTTTTTTTTCATCTCCTATTACCATTCCTTCTACCTCCTCCCCCTTTCTTTCCTTCCTCTTGGCTAATAGTCTTTCTTCTATTTTCATGTTATCTGTTTTAGATACCACATATTATACTTGCCTTTGTGAATCTGGGTTTAGTGTGTTTCTCATGGACACTAAATTTACCTTTACATTTATACTTCAGACACATCCCATCCTTGCCACTTTCTGTAGCAGCTGACAGTTTATGTTCACAGGAATTTCTGTCAAATACAAACATTATAATGTGTCCTCATCCATCTTATTCACCAGATCTGGTACCACGGAACCTCTGTCTCTTCCTCAGAGTCGAATAACTATGAAAGATAAGCTTTGAATCAATTCAGGACATCAAAGCAGCCACAACAGCACAACTAAAAAGATCCTCATGAAAGAGGGCTTCCAGAACTGCTTCAGAAAGTGGCAAAAACAGGGGGCTGGGGATTTAGCTCAGCGGCAAAAGCACCTGCCTGGCAAGCGCAAGGTCGTGAGTTCGGTTCCCGGTACCGGAGAAAAACCAAAAAAAAAAAAAAAAAGAAAGTGGCAAAAACCATGGGATAAATGCCTTGAAATCAAGGAGGAGTATTTAGAGGGACGTTAATGACAATGTATCTTTTACTGTAATAAAATTTTTAAAATTTAAATATTCATTATATTTTGTCACACTTTGTAGTAAAGCAAGCCCTTCGCCTTTATGCAATCCAGCAATCTTACCCCTAGTGAAATGAAAAACCTACATTTACACCATACCCTGTACACAAATGTTTATAGCGATTTTATTCATGATAAGCAAAAGCTGAAAATGCCCCAGACATCGTTCAACAAGTGAATACACAAACACAATGGGAAGTCTGAAAACTTTGCATGCATACTGATCCACAGGACACTGGGGGGTCCCAAAGCAGTGTACACAGTGAAAATCGGGCTCCAAAGCAGATATCCTGTGTGACTCCGCTTCTGTGTCATCCTGGAAAAGGCAAAAATACAGGGCAGAAAACTCATCAGAATTTGCCAGCAGTCAAAGATGAGAAAAGGAGGTGACTGCAGAGAGGTTCAGGGACATTTCAGGAGATGAAATGGTCCAGACCTTGATTGTGGTAGTGGGTACATCATCCCCTGCTTTGGTTAAAAATCAGAGAATTTTATAGTAAAAAGGGTGATGTCATTGTGGCCATGATTTTTAAAAGCAAGGAAGTTTCAGCAGGGCTGAGCGTGTGACTGTCAACCTAGCAATCATTTACCTCTGGGTAATTTGGGCACACGCACACTTCCTTTGCTTTCTAGTGAGCTCAGTCACGCATTCTGAAAGATTCTTTCAGAGCCTTGTGCGGGGCACCAGGCTGGTGAGAGAAACACCATCTCGGACCTCGAAGGCCGCCAGGCAATGGGGGAAGTGAGACGGGGTGGGCAGGGAGGGCGCCCCCAGACCTCCGTGCAGAGCGGGTCCCCAGGCTCCACGGCTCCTGGACCTGCCCGAGATCACATAACTCTTTCGTCAGGGTAATGGGTGCAATTAACTGGCGTAAAACTGTGACACACAGCAGACAGCTGGCTGGGCTCGAGGCCAAGGAGGTGACCACCGTGACTCACCACTCTGCCGGGGAACAGCAAGGCAGGCCCAGAGGGGCCCCAGGAGGGACCGGCAGAGGGGCAGACCTCCCTGGTGTGCGCAACACCCAGGTCAGGACTTCGAGGACGGGCCTGACTCAGGCCTAGTCAGCATCCAGAGGGAAGCAGGGCCGCACGGCCTCCCCTGGAGAAACGAGTCCTGCAGCACGGATCCCACCGGCCACTCAGCACAGAGCATTCACCTGCTCCAGGCGTGGAACTGAACCCTTGGCAGCAGGACCAACCGCACGGATCCTCCCCCAGCCCGCCTGTCTCCTGGGGTGGCAGGAAGGGTTCAATTAGCTACCGTGTGTGAAGCACTCAGCACCCTGCCTGTCCTTCAATAAACGTGGGCCATTATTACCACCACCCCATTTAGCAGATGAGGTAACAGAGGCCCAGAACTATTAAGAGATTTGTCCACAGTCACACAGCTACCGGGTTGCAGAATTGGGTATGCTTGGCTGTAAGGCCACATGAGATGCCCCACCCGGAGCAAGGTCACACCTACACAGAAGTTTCCAGGCCTCAGGTGGGACTAAAAATCTTCCAAGGTGACAAAGTAGCTCCCATGTACCCCTTCCACCTAGCCCTGTTCTCATTGCTAACCACAGAGCGCCTTCTATGCCTTTGTTTCTAAGGTCTGAACACCTCCACCAGGAAGCCTTCCAGGACTCCCCCACCTGCCTCACCTTGAAGCATAAAAGACTGTTGTTTCACGTGCTGAGGGCCTGCTGGATGCCAGGCACCACTGAACTCTGGCAATGCGGCAGTAAAGGAGAAGACAAAGCCCTGTCCTCATGAAGCTCATGGTCTATGGAGAAGAGGAACAGTAAACAAGTTTTAAAATGGTAAAGTCACCACACACAAAGAGGTGCATACCTGTAATCTCAGCCAATCAGGAAGCTGAGGCCGGAGGATCACATGTTTGAGGCCAGCTCAGGCAACTGAGCAAATTAGGAAGACCCTGTCTCAAAAATTTTTAAAAAGCCAGACGTGGCAGCACACACCTGTAATCCCAGCACTTGGGAGGCTGAGGCAGGAGGATCGTTTAGAGTTAGAGGCCAGCCTGGGCTACAAAGTGAGTTCAAGATCAGCCTGAACTACACAGCGAGACCCTGTCTCAAAAAGACAAAAAAAAAAAATTTTTTTTAAAAAGGCTGTGGATGTGTGAGACCCTGGGTTCAGTCCCCAGTACCAAGGTTGGGGTGCGGGGTCACCTCAGTTGCGAACTGTACTGAGGTCTATGAAGGAGGAAATGAGGGAGTCTGAGAAAGTCTCACAGACACAGCAGCATAGAAGCTGAACCTCAAGATGGGAAGCCCAGACACTGGCAGGAGAAAAGTGCTCCAGGAGGGGCAGGGCCCCTGTGCAAAGGTCATGGGGTACAAGACCATTTCAGGGGCTCAGGGAACCGTACAGAAACCTCAGGGCCAGGAAGGTAGGGGAGGGGAGACGATGGACACCCCGGGCAGAGGCGGCCACGCAGAGCCTGGTCTGCCAGCCCAGCCCTCTGGCTTTGACTCCAAGCTAGGTGGGGTCAACATGAGGCTCTGGGCAGAGGGCACTGCGCAAGGGGCAGGTGCAGAGGAAGCAGGGCCAGTGGGAGCTGAGATCAATGGGGCAGTGACGGGCAGGAGGTGGGCAGGCTGAGCTCCTTCCTCTCTAACCCTGCTGGCCGCTGGTGCCACCGTCCCCCCTCCGGATTTATTTCTTAGCTCCAAACACCTCTTCCAGACAGCATCCCTGATTCTCCCACACCCTCCCTGCCCAGCAGACTCCGGAGCTGTGCACACCTTGAGCACAGAGCTGCCCTCACAACTCTGGGATCAAGAGCTACTGCTGAAGGCAGGCTCTGAGACCAGGAGCTTAGGGTGAGCTAACATCAGAGGGGACCTGTTTGTTCCCAGATCCTTCTTAACGCCCTCCCACTCCGGCAGAGACCTCAGCTTTTGGATCCAAAAGGCTTTGGAGTTGCTCTGCAAAGGACGGAGCCTCCTCGGTCCTGGCTATCTCCCAGGGAGGTTCCTGCCTGGAGCCTTCCGTCCCCAGCCCTGGGCCTGACAGCTCTAAACCTTGCTCATCTTTCTCCTCCACACTACCCCAACACGGATGACCTACTATGTGCCTGGTTCCTTGCTTTTCATTGACATCAAAGATGGCCAAGACATAGTTCTGTCTCTGGGGTTCATAGTCCCAGGAGGCAGAAGGGAAAACTGATGATGTGGGGTGTGGGGTCATGGGGATGGTGATGGTGGAATTGTTGATGGTGGAGATGGTGATGTTGGTGGGGATGGTGATGGGGTTGGAGGAGATGGGGTTGGAGATGGTGGGGATGGTGATGGTGGAGGTGGTGGGGTTGGCAGTGGTGGGGGTAGTAATGGTGGGGTTGGTGACGAAGATGGTGATTGATGGTGGAGTTGGTTATGGTGGGGTTAGTGGTAGAGATGGTAGTAGAGGTGGAGATGGAGATGGTGAGATGGTGATGGGGATGATGGCAAAGATAGATGGTGATGGCAGAGATGGTGATGGGTGGATGGGGATGGGGGATGGGATGGGGGATGGTAATGGGGGATGGGGATGGCAGAGATGGTGGAGAGGGTGATGGTGGAGATAGATGGTAATCGCGGAGATGGTGATGGAGGATGGGGATGGAGGGATGGGGATGGGGGATGGGATGGGGGATGGTAATGGGGGATGGGGATGGCAGAGATGGTGGAGAGGGTGATGGTGGAGATAGATGGTAATCGCGGAGATGGTGATGGAGGATGGGGATGGAGGGATGGGAATGGGGATGGGGGATGGGAATGGGGGATGGGGATGGAGGATAGGGGATGGGGGATGGGGATGGCGGGGATGGGGATGAAGGAGATGAGGGAGATGATGGGAGGGATGCCAATGGTGGTGATAAGAGGGAGGATGCGAGCTCCCCTTTCTCTGGCACTCACTCTGATCTGGGCAGGGATGGTCCTAAGCACTTGACATCTAATCCTCTTAACAGCCCTATGAGGTAAGAGTAATTATTTTAATAGTGGGGTACATTTACTACTTACTGCATACCAGATGTTCTTGTAAATGCCTTACAAGTGTTAACCCATTCAAGGCAGGTACTATTATTGTTTCTACTTTAAAGATAAGGAAACTGAGGCATGGAGTTTAATCACCTGCTCAAGGTCTTGCAGCCAATTATGCAGATACAGGCTCTGCGGGATGCAGATAGCAGGTTCTGTGCGGCATGGGTGAGGAAAGAGTCCCTCCTCCTGGACAGACAGGAAGACATCATGGAGGAGGTGACCGTAAGCCTGGTTGCAGGGAGCAGCAGAGGTTGGCCAGGTAGGCAGGAGGGAGAGGGCATGGCAGGCAGGAGCGGGTGTGGAGTGGACCCATGCTTACAGAGCTGGGCATGATTTGGCAGGGTTGGACAGGTGGGAGGAGCAGTGCCCAGGGCCCTGGGGGCCAGGCCAAGGGGCTTGGACCTTACCCTAAAGACAGTGGGGATCTGGAGCCCCTTGCCGGTCCCCTGAACTACCGACACCTGACCTCAGCTCTACCGGCTACTGAAGGCATAACCTTTCCTTAAACCAGGTCTTCTCAGCAGCCTTCCCTGGGCCCCCAAAGACTGTGGGCACTTCCCCTCTCACTCTTGTCACCCCCCAGGTACCCGCTGGCTCCCCTTAACTGTGCCCACATCAGTGTGTGGCTTCCGTCCCACGGCCACACCTCCTGTACGTCATTCCCCTGACCACAGGCCTCTGCTCCCCACCCACCGTCCACAGCCCGTCCCTCCCCTGGGCTCAGGGAGCCCTCCTCCAGAAAGCCCGCCTGATCACTCCAGCCCTGACGGGCGTCTGTCCCAGCTCTTCCACTGCAACCTGAGGAAACTGGGGCTCGGAGAACTAAAAGGCCTTCTCCATAGTCACTGGGTTGGATGTGACTCCAAGCTCCAGTACACAGCCGCTTTACCCGGGCCCCACTCCTCCTCAAGTGTCGCCCAGCAGGCACTGGGCAGAAGCTCAGAGACTGACACAGACTGGCCAGATCACCTCTGTGTGTTGTCCTGCTTCAGCTCTGCTCCTCAGTGGGGTCCTCCAGAAGGTTCTCTGGCTGCCCTCCTCATATTTACAATGGGAACCAGCCAACAACGATGCTGGGGTCTGCGTGGCCCCATAAATCCTTGGAGCCGGAGACTGAGACAGCAAAGGTTCTGAGCTCCAGGCCAGGGTGTAGCTCAGTGGTAGAGCACTTGCCTGGCATGTGCAAGGCCCTGAGTTCCATCGCCAGCACTGCAAAAGCAAAACAAATAACAGGTTCTGAGCTCCTCTGACAGATGCTGGCCCAGACTCATCCCCAAGGCCACGGCAGGAATCTGAATTGAGACCTAAAGAACCTGGCAGGGCAACCATCCAAGCTCATGCCGCTGCCCTGCCAAACTGCAGCCAGAGGAATCATCACAGCTGACGTAGACTTGACCTTGGCCTGTGCCAGACACCGGGCTGAGCGCCCCCAGCACTTTTACACCCACTCTGCACGGCACCGCTGCACACAGAAGGCAACAAAGCATTTATCCTGCCACCCAGGCACCCACTGAGTCCTCAGGTAGACGTTGAACACCTACTGTGTGTTGGGCCGGAAGCATAGAACTGGGAGACAAAAATGTTCGAGGTCCATGCAAGCCCAGCTCTTTAGAGCAAACTGCCTGGCAGGTGCCTGGCTTTTGGGGGGACATGGGGAGATACAAAGCCTCACTAATTACCAAGCCCGAGGAGGGGGGAAATAACATGTCCAAGCCAGAGCATGAGGAGCTGCCCGTCTCAGTAATCTGTGCTGTTGGGTTGCCCTGGGGACAGCCCAAAGAGAAAGATTGGATGTGTACCAGGAGTTGCTCTCACAAAGGACAGCTGAGTCCAGCTGAGTGTCCCCACTCCTGTACCCTGCTAACGGGGATCGTGGGAAGCTGCCATGCTACCCAACCCAGCCAGGGCCCAAGTCATGAAGTCAAAGCTGCTGCATGGTCCAGGACAGACCTGTGGCTTTGGCAGCAAGGACAACCTCGGACAGGGTTCTGGGGGGTCCCAGCTGAGAAGGAGCAGCCTGGGGCCACGCAGCAAGGGAGTGGGGGCACCCAGGCAGACAGTGGAACCAGCCTGGGGCGCAACCCTACTGGGTAGCCGCTGAGTCACTGGGTCCCCCACACTGGGGCCTGTGTGGCTTCCTCATGAGGTTCTATCACCTCCTCATGACCAGCCACTCAGCCGCCTGGCGGTTACTCACAGGCTCTTACAGAGGCCGGAGCTCACGGGGGCGGGCGAGATCGGGGAGCCTGGCCTCAGCCTCCTCCTCCTTCCTCCTCCTGCTTCTCCTCCACCCGCTCACCGGTCCTTCTTTCCTGTGGCCTCTGTCACCTCCCTTGTTGGAGGGCGTTCTTCCGACTCTCCCTCCACACCAGGACGTGCCAGGCTCTGCCCTCAGACCAGCAGACACTGAGCTGAGAGACTCCAGCCAACTAGGAGCTTCTGCAGGGGACACTGGCCAGCCTGGAAAGCTTAACCCTGTCTATCTGGGGTCACACAGAGCCTGAGAAGGAGGCCTCTGAGGGCAGCTGCTTCAGGGCCTCCTCTGGCCAAAGACGAGAGGTGAGAGCCAACCTTAGCGTGGGTGGCCCACATCACAGCCTCCCAGCCTGGCACCCCAGGCAATTTACTTAACCCCTGGAGCCTCTGTTGCCTCATGTTCAGAGCACAGACAGCGGCAGCCGCCTGCCTCCTGGGGTTGGCGAGGAATAAGTGACGTAATGTTTGTCAGGTGTTTAACACGGGCTGGCTGGTGGTGAGTGGCCCGCAAATGGCCACTATTATCATCGTTATAAAAGGAATCACAGGAGACGGCCACACCTCAGAGGTGCCTGGCGCGGTGCAGTTTCCAGAGTACTTCTATCTGTGCTGTGTGGGAGGCGTCAAGGGGCCCATGAGGTGACAGAGATGGAAGTTCTTGCCGGAGTCTTCGAAGATCCTTTCCTGCCATTGCTGCCCTGATAACCGTCAGCCAGGAGGTGATCGTCTGCTGCCCCTAAGCAGTGACAAGCTGAGTGCCTGGAGTAGAACATCATTCAACCTCATGGAGCCTCAGTTTCCTTGTCTGTAAAATGGGGATGAGAGCACCTCTCTCCAACTGCTTGGGAAGAGCGGATGATGGTACTGCGTAAGAACAGAGCCAGGGCTGTCTATGAACGTGCCGCTGATGTTACTTCCTGAGCGCCTGCTCTGTGTGGGTGTTTTACTGAAAATGTCACATTTAATCTGCACAATGACATTGTCACAGATAGAGGGAGCTGGTGTTTTACGCTGGGCTCCCTAGGAAGCAGCTCTGAGGAGGGTTCGCACAGGGAGTAATCGGTAGGAGCTCGGTATCAATAACCCAGGAGGCAAAGGTGAAGGTACTGGCCCGACGAAGGAGAAAACCCCCCCCCGCACTGTGGCACACTCCAGGAAGCCACATTGCACTGTCACGGGTCCCAACAGAGGACTCCACCAAGCCCAAGGAAGCTCCTGGGCTGCCCTGTCCCTCAGAGGTGTCCCGCACGGAGCACATGTAACCACCCTGCTGAGGACTCCATTTCCCAGCATCCCTTGCGGCTGGTGTGAGCATGTGGTCAGCCTGCGTCCAAGTCATGTGAGCAGAAGTGATGAGCGCCACCTTTCCATTTGTCCTCAGCACAAACTAATGAAGAGGCCTGCCCTCCTTTTCTCCTTCTCCTTTCTCACTAGCTAGAAGGCAGATGGGCAGCAACCACATTGAGTCATGAGGTAGAAGCCAAGCGTAGGAGAAAGGAACATGAGACACAAGGACCTTGGGTCCCCAACATGTCAGTCACCCCCATTAGCCATCCTGGATGGCTGAATCCTGTCCCTATCCTCTCCTGTCCTGTTGGTCACTGCTTTTCAGACCTTTGTGAGAGCAGCCAAACCCTATGCAAATGAGGGCGGCCCCATCTGCGTCTCTTTCTGGGGTATGTGCTCAGTCGTGTGTCACTGAGTGACGGGGAGAGGGTCTGAAAAACTGTTAGCCGGCTTCGTCATTGTGTGAGCAGCATAGAGCGTGCTTAACACAAGGCTAAGCCAGCTCTGACATCACTAGGCAGCGGTGTCCTTGGCAACAGCAGTGACAGGGCGGCCTGGCACTGACTGCAACATTGTTAATGCCACACATGGCTAGATCTGAATATACATCAGGTGTGGACTTCCCACTACATAGACTCAACTTTCCTTTTCTGCAGTCAGATGTAGTTATATTTCAAGCTTCTTATTCCCTGGTGGTGGGAACCTAAACTACGCAGTAAGCAACCCCCATTTTCTCAGTCCACTAGGATTTGTTTGTCTTTGAGCCAATCAAGGTAATCAATTTAGGGGTTTTCCTTCCTGTCCCTGGCCATTCCCCCTTTCCCAGTAGCATCTAGTTCCGGTTAATAACTTAAATGTGGCAGCACAATCTGGCTGAGTGGAGGGCTAGCTGGCAAGTGCATAGACTCAGGGGCCCTACATGGAGGCATGTGTCGTGTGGTGTGTCACCCATCCTTTGAGGATTCCGGATACTGCCTGGCTCCCCGTGGAGTTTATCTGTTTATCCTGAGCCCACAGCTCTGCTGCGTACCTCCTCTGGGAGTTTCTGTTGCTTACCATCTCATCCGGGCTGGCATCCACCAGTTGACACTCTGTCTTCTTTATTTACTATGTGTCTGACAACTAATAGAATCTTACATCTGAGAAGCTTTGATAGCCTTGAATATTCTTCCCATTTCACAGATAAGGAAACTAAGACCACGGGCAATTTGTTTAGTAAATGGGGGACTGGGACTTGAAGAGAGACAATCTACACCTTAGCTGCTCTGCCTTACTGGGTGTCCTGCCCTTTCCAGTTTTATCCTCATGGTCTTTTTTGATGCTCATGGACATTGCTCTGGAACAACCTAACACCAGTGTAAGAGGACAGGGCTCAAGTTGCCATGAAACTGGGGAAAGACACATACAGACCCAAGATTGCAGACTGCCATCCCTGGGTACTTACTGACAGAAGCACTGGGCCTCCCAATTTTCAGTTAGAGAGAGGGATGTATTTATGGGTTAAGATAAAGGAGACTTCACCCTAGCTGGAACATAACCTGGTTTATCTTAAGCTAATGTCAAAGAGGCAGGCACATTCCTGGAACCGGAGTCCAGTTAGCTGTAAAGCTCCACATACCGCCCTCATACTTTTGTTTATTTATAGTTTGCTGGAAAACTGTGCAGGAAAAACCAGCCAAGGTTACTGTGGGACAATCATGGCAGTTACAGCTCAAGATGGCTGCAGTCATGTCAAGCTGAATCCACACAGAAAGACAAGGAATGAGACACAGAGAACGAGGCACTGTTTTACAATGAAGGAAACCGAGGCCTGGCAGACAAATTATTTGGCTTTAGTGACCTTGCTACAGAATGACAGAACAAGGTCTAGACCCAGGCCTCCACTGAGGAAGGCCCTGCCCCTGCCCAGCAATATTTCCAACACTGGCAGACACCCGCCCCCAACACACACACCCATACACACCCATGTATGCGCATGCACACACACTCAAGACAGCACAGCAGGACTGGCCTGACCTCCTCCTCCCCACCATGGTGTCATCCAACAAAAGCACTGCCTGGAACCTGCACTCTGCCTCCCTCTCTTGGCAGCATGCAGGGCTGCCGGTGGGGAAAGTAGAACCAAAAGCTCCAATTAGTCCTCCAGTCCAGTCACAGCGGTAACATGGGAAGAGCTTATCAGCTTCCAGAACTGGGGAGGGTATCATTCCCAAGCGCAGTAGAGAGAAGTCTGGCCCCTTAGCCAGAAGGTAGCTACTGTGTAGGTTGGAGAGGCTGTGGGATGCAGCTGAAACAGCAGAGAGATTCTGGGTTCAAGCCCCCACTATGCAGCCTTGGGACTGTCGCTATTCATCTGTGACAGCTGGGGAGGCCCCTCTGGTATGAGCAACTTTAATAACATTAGCAATCCCTTCTTCTACTTGGAGTCCTACAGTCCCTTTCAGATCATGAGCTGGGGATATAGCTCAGCGGTAGAGCACTTGCTTGCCTAGCATGTGCAAGGCCCTGTCCTCCACCCCTAGCGCTGCAAAAACAAACAAAAAAACAGGGATCATATCTCTCTTCCCCATCTTCATCCCCAGTCTGGGGCCTGGTACACAGTTGGCACTCAGTAAATGGTTGTTGAATGATTGAGTGGCCACTCCCTTCTATTTATATAAACCTTTTATGTATAATTTCATGCTGCTAGGATTGGTATATTTTTTTGATAGATGAGAAGCCAAACCACAGAGAGGCTGGGACAAAGTACAAGCTGTGATATTAAATTCTGTGTGTTAATTTTCCTCACTTATCCTAGTTGAGCTTTCTTTTCTCTTTTCCGTAATTTCTTTGTCATCTGAATGAACACACACACACACACACAGTCATGTCCATAGGTGTGTGAGTCAGCTTTCTATTACCATAACAAAATACCTGAGATAATGAACTTGTAAAGGAAAAGGTTTATTTTGGCTCACAGTTTTAGCAGGTTCAGTCCAAGGTTGGGTAGACCCATTTCTCAGTGGCTCAGGCCACTGATGGGCAGGGTGTCAGCTGGCAAAGGCAGGGAGGACATGGCAGAGCAAACTACGCACCTCATGGCCAGTGAGCAAGGGAAGAAGGAGCCAGGGGCTCAGAGTCCCCTCTAAGGCCACACCCCAGGGCTTTAAGGATAACCTGCTAGGCCCCGCCTCCCAACAGAACTATCCCAAGGACTGAGCCTTTAACACATGGACATCTGGAGACATTCAAGATCCAAGATGCACTTGGTACAGACAGGTCCATTGCTCAGATGGAACAAAACTGAGTGTCCTCGTCGGGGGGCCATGATGATGGCAGGAAAAGCCAAAACACAGACTCTCCTGCATCTGCGCCCTCTTCCTAAGAGGGCCCTAAAGTTGCCAACCTGGAACCATTCAGCTCCGAGACAAGAGCCAGACAGGAACAAAACAATCAAATCAGCATGGCCCATCCTTCCGGCCAATTACTGACTGGGAAATGGACCGATGACCAGGCAGGAGGCAGGCTAATCTGGACCAACAAGACACCATTCTGGAACTTTTTTGAGCCTCCAAGGAGGTAAACCTTGGCTCCTTCCCTGTATCTGAATCCAGAAACATAGAATCCCAGAATCTTCTTGCAGCCACCTTGGAGACCCTGGAGGAGAGTTTGCCTGAGAATGGAGCTAGTACCAAGGCTATACAGCTGAGCACAGATGCGCCGCTGGGTCAGGCTCTCCCTGAAGATCAGACAACCTCCGGCCTTTCAGTACCACAAGCCAACAAATTCCCTTTATGAGCTGAGCTGGGTTTTCAACAACGTGCAGCTGCTGAAAGGGAGTCCAATGTAAAGTTTCAATCACATCCCCCTGGTAAACACAGTGACTTTTCCGTAACTACTGACCTCAAAGTCACACCCCCAAATGAAAATACTAGAGGAAGCGCAAGACACTGCTAGGTAAGTGAAGGCCGAGTTTAAGCACCTCCAGGGGAGGATAACAGCTTGGGGGGCAAGGCCATCCTCCACCAAGAGGGAGCTACCTGTCTCTCTCTGACAAGCTCCTGCCTTCCGGCCAGCCCTGGGACTCAGACCGACTTTCCAGGGCAGCAGTCACCCTTGGCTGGCCTCACTCTTCCACCTTATCTTTGGCATTTCTTTCCTCTGATTCTTGTCTATCAACCACCTACTGAGACCTTTTAGTTTGTAAAATGAATTATTAATTTGAAAGGCTCTTGGGACCTTCAAGGAAGCCCTTACTTAGTCAATAGAAGATCGAGGCAGAATGGCAAAGGAGCATTCTGGGGTCCCTGGGATTTAGGGCTTGGGTTTAAGTGCTGGCTGGCTCTGCTGCTTCTGGGCAGATTTTGGGCAGATTGCTTAACCTCCCTGTCCTAGGCTGAATAATGGCCCATTAAAGATGTCCGTCATAATCCCCAGAAACTGTGAACACAGCCAAAGGAATTTTGCAGATGAGATTAAGGGTAAGGACCTTGAGAGATGATCCCGGATTATCCAGCAGGCCCGATCTAATCAGTGAATTCTCAAAAGCAAAGACCCTTTCCCGGGAGGGGTCAGAAGAAGACAGGGCTACGGGAGAGAGTCAGAGATAGGTGACAATGTTGACAGGCTGGAGGAAGCCGCTACTCACCACGGCGTGTGGAAGCTCTAGGAACTGGGAAAGGCTGGGAAATAGATTCACCTGCAAAGCTCCTGAAGGAAAGGGACCCTGCCGACACTTTGACTTTAGCCCAGGGAGCCCCAAGTTAGAGACTCAGCCTCCAGAACCATAAGATATTAAATGTGTATTGTTAAGTCACCAGATTGGTGATCATTTGTTAGAGCAGCCATAGGAAACTCACACCCTGGGCCTCATCTTGTTTCGGAAAGAGGTGACAAGATACCAGTCCTCGAGATCGAGAGTTTGTGAGCTCAGCCCTGGAATCACCAAGTCCAAGTTCAAATCCAGGCTTGCAGCAGGGCCTGGCTCCTCTCCTGCCAGGTGCCACAGGGACTCAGCCCCCTGCCTGTTCCCAAGGCAGCCAGAGGGAGGCCTTGGACTAGCATCACCTCCATCATTCTTTTGGACCCTTTATCTTGAACCAGAACAAATAGTAAGGATTAAAACAGAGTCTTGGGAAGGACAGGAAGAAATAAGGACAGCAACAGACCCTGGCCAGATGCCAGGGGCAGCCCAAGTGCCAAGGGAGAAAAACAAGAGCTCCAAAATGTACCACTGTGTGCTCCTGGCTGTGAGATTCCCAGAAAGGCAGTTAATCTCTCTGGGCCTCAGCTACCCTACCTGGAAAATGGGGAGAAGAATTTCAGCACTAAGTAGGTGTTAGACGGCACCCACTCACAAGCACCCTCTTCTTTTCCTCCCTCCACTCTTCTCCCCCCTTCCCTTCCTCCTTCCCTAGCTTTCTGGTGGTTAAAACTTTCTTCAGGAAGCAAAAGAGGCCCTCGGACCCCGACCCCATCCAGACCCAGGTTAGACTCTTCTCCCGGTCCTTTCACTGCCCTCTGTCTAATAAAGAGCAGTCAGTGTCACATAGCGGGTTCAAAGGATAAAGCTAAGTCCGGGGCAGGCTGGGCTGGACCAGCTGTGGGAACCTGAACCCATGACCTCATCTCCCCAGCCTCCATTTCCTCATCCCAAAAGTGGGGATAATGAGAGCCTCCCTCCCCAGAGCTGTTTATTGAACACTACATGAATAATCACGTAAAGCACTTAGCGAGGATTAGAAACACGCTAAGCACTTAAGGTTATCATTAAATTCCCTTCAGGCCCCACCCACAGAGGAGGCAACAAGGGTGGGTCGTCCCACCCAGGGCACAAAGGCAAGCAATGACCTACTATGTGTGAGGCCGAGCAAACCTTGGCGGGAGAGGAGGCTCAGTCCTTTCCCTTCTGAGGACTCTGCCCTCGAGGGAGCGAGCCACCCGGAAGAGGAAGGGGAAGCACAGTCACAACGCAGAGGGACGGCGCGGGCGGAGCTGCTCTCGGGAAAACAGGGGAGGCAGCAGCCAGGAAGCGGGCAGGCAGGAAGGCAGGGCGGGAGCCCCCTCAGGCTCGGCTGTGCGCCGGGTTCTGCTCAGTTTTTTATATTTTTAAATCGATTCCCTGTGGGGGCTGGGGATTTAGCTCAGCGGCAAAAAGCGCCTGCGTGGTAAGCGCAAGGTCGTGAGTTCGGTTCCCGGTACCGGAGAAAAACCAAAAAAAAAAATAAATAAAAAAATAAATAAATCGATTCCCTGTGATCACCCTCATTTCATGGAGGGGGAACCCGCAGTCCAGCTTGGCGGGTCCGCTGGGGGCTCCAGCCGCAGCATTTCTAACCGGCTCCGCGGGGAGGGCCACACTGGCTCCTCCTTGATAGCCACTTACTAACTGCTCGCTAATGGTAGGGTTGGGTTTCACCACGGTCCTGCACGGAAACTGGGAACTTAGCTCGATCCGCAGAGGTTATGCCGCATGCAAACGGCACAGTGGGATTTGAACCCAGGACCTACGATCGCATCTTTATCCTGGACTGCTGCACAACGTGAAGGATACCTGGCACCACGTGGCACCAACAGGGGCTCCCTTGAGACCTCAGAGAAGCTTTGAGCAGCGCAGATGCCACGAGGACCCAGGCCGCGCGCGGGCCGTCCCCCAGCAGGTGCGGAGGCGGCGGGGCTGCAGGGCGGGGGCGTGTCTGAATCTCGGACCCGGCCCTGCGCGCCGCCAGCCAATAGGCTCTGGCGTTTCTTCCGCGACTGGTGGCGGGGTGGGAGCAGGCCTGTGATTGGCGGAAGCGTCGGTCCTTGGCGCCTGGCGCGGGGCAGTGGCTGGGGCAGAAACGCCGGCTTGAGTCACTGCTGCCCTCGCCGCCTGCGCTAATCCCCGCTAAGCCTGAGCTAAACCCTCGCCGCCCGCTCACTCCCCGCGGTCCCGGGTCACGGCGCGGCCAGTTGCACTGCTGTCCGCCTGCTCACGCCACGCGGCTGCCCCAACCCACGCGGGGAGATCCAGGCTGATATTCCCACGTCACAGAGGGGAAACTGAGGCACCGCGGGAAAGAACTTGCGCAGGCCAAGCAGAGCTGGACTTTTGTTCAGCCCTGAGGACCTGCCCACTGTCCTCGCCCTCTGGTGTCGACCTAAGGAGGGCTTTGCAGCCCAGACCCCTTGGGCCTGGCACATATGGGTGCTGAGGGGCCAGTGACGCTGGCTTCGGGGCAGCACAGATCCCCCCTTGAACCAGTGGGAAAGACAACATTGTGACCCGGAGACTTCCGAGAAGTGAGAGGCAGGATCCTCTGGAGGCATAAGACAAACCAGTGAGATGTGTCACACAAAGCCCTGCTAGGGATGCACCCCTACTGTCTTTATGTCCTTGAAACCTTTTTTTATTTTTCTCTTGCTTTCCCTTTGAGAAATAAAACTTTTCCAAGTCACACACTGGGCTGGTGTTTTGCTTGCATATTTCATTTAATCCTGTGACACAGAGGTTACATTATCTTTGTTTTATAAGAAAACAGCATAGAGGGCCGGGGATGTAGCTCAGCGGCACAAGTGCCTGCTTGGCAAGCGCAAGGTCCTGAGTTGGATTCCCCGTGCTACAAAAAAAAAAAAAAAAAAAAAAAAAAAGAACAACAGCATAGAATGAGAGGAGCTCCTTCCTTTGCCCAGGGTTGGGCAGCCAGAAAGAGGTAACAGTGAGATTTGAATTGAACTAAATGTCTGTCAAAGGCTTCCAGGCAGGATGTTCTGTGGCTCTGTTCTTACTTTTTGTT